TTTTTTTTTTTTTTTTTTTTATCTTGTGCTTTTTTACCAAGTAAATGATACAATAGTTTTTATGTGATGTTGCTTTTGGTAGGGATCACACAAGGTAAATAAATAAATTATTTCATTTACGAAAAAGTTAAAATTTAACGTTAGAGTTAACTCTCTCATTTGACTCTGAAAAACAGTTTCATCTAACTCACGTGTGTTTGGTTTAGAGCAATCATATTTTTTACGACCTCTTGAGATTTTTTTTAAACACTATGTGAGTGAAAAGAAAACATGTTTGTTAAGAATAATTATCTGATACCATGTTAGGTGAGATTGAACATGTTCTTTAAATAGGATACAAGGTACTAACTAAATCTAAAAAATTAGAGAAAATATTTTGTTAATAAAATCTAAAAATAAAACATGTTTGTTAAGAATGATTGTCTGATATCATGTTAGTGGGATCAAAAGTTCAATATTCATTAATATTCACAACTATAGGATATACGTTACCAATTGAATCTTAAAAATAAGATAAAATATATTAAATATTAACCAAATTGTGAGAATAAGATAAAATATATTTCAATAATGTTAAAATGCAATTCTATATAGTTCGGGTTGTATGTTTAGAATCATTCAAAACTTGACATGATCGATCTTGCTTATGATATGATTTGAATCTGAATCAAATGTTTTTGTCTTTAAGCACATTTGGTTTCCATTTATACTACTAGAATTTGAACCTTAGTTTTGTGTTTCGTTAATTAATTTTCTCTTCTACTTATTTACATGATCGAGAAAGTTAAAATTTAACGTCAGAATTAATTCTATGGTTTGATCCAATTTTGAAAAATAATCTCTACTAATTCAAGTGTGTTCGGATTGAATCAGAATTTAAAAAAAAAAACATGAAAAGAATTTGTATTTGTCTGTGTAGATAGTCTTCTCTTGTATAAATTAAAAAAGTTTTGTTTTTAATTTTATTTATATAGAACTAATTAATAAAAATAAACATAAAGAAAAGAAAAGAGTAAAAATAAAATAAAATAAAAAAAAAGTGGAAAATATAAAAAGGAGGTAGGTTGGGGTGGTAATTTAGTGCCACGTGTAAGGGAGTGTTTGGTAACAGGTGAATCCTATCCTTATCTTCAATGGAGGCGATCCGGTAAGCTTATTTCGTCGAGATCATCCAGCGTTAAGAATACTTCATCCAAACACGACAGCTCCGCCCCAGTTTCTTCTTCTTCCTCGTAAACTCTGCACAATACCCATTTGCTGTAATCCTGAAGAAACCATCCAATCGGTTAATAATATTTATTCATTAAAAAAAAAAAGTGGTTTCAGTGGACGGTGGCGTACTAGTTTTGGACGTCCTCGGCGTCTGGACGATCTACTGGCGGCGGCGGCGGAGGCGGCGGAGGCGGCGTTGTAAAGACGATACTCGTGCATTACCCAGTTGGTTTTGACGTGGCCGACGTGGAAGAGAAAATATTTTTTCATTCCGACGACTTCGGCGGTGGCGGAAGCGACGACGGGCTCGTCTCGGCCCAATGGATTCCAGTAGCCATTAGCGGTAACTCGAGCGTCAGTTTTTCTACTGTAGAAATACCACTGGTTGCCCTCTCCCAACGCCTTCCCTAAACACACAACCAATCAACAACTTCCACGTGGAATATAAAAATATATTTTTTTATAGCTTAAATTAATGGAGACTTAATATTTCATTATTTTGTTTTAAATTATTTTTTAATTTTAAAGTTTTCCTCAATATCCTTCCATTTAAATTTTTTTTGAAAAATGCAAAAAAATTATTTTATTTTAAAAATACCCTTAAATTAATTTTTTTTAAATATTAAAATTTTTTAAAATACCACAATCCTAATATATAAATAATACTAATATATTAAAGATGGATAAAAATATATATTTCTAAAATATAGTACCTCTCCTATTTTGATTTCACAAGTCTTATCATTTCATTTTCAGGGCGAGTATTTTTTAAAATTTTTTAAATTAAAAGATATTTTTAAAACTCATTTATGAAAACTATTTTGGTCGATAAAATCATTTATTGAACTTTTTTTAAGTGTAAGGATATGTCTAATTTTATTTTTTTAATTTAAAAAATTTAAAAAGATCAGATTAGATAAAAGAGGTCAAAAAAAAAAAAAAGTCTTATATAGTTAAACATACCTTCGAGTTCCCATGGATCGTAGGGGAAGAGAGCGAGATCGGGAATGACATCGGGGTGGCACGGTAACAAGGCGGCCTTGCGATGGAGGAAATGGACGACGAGCTCTTCATCGGTGGGATAGAATCGGAACCCGGGAGGGAGGGTGAAGTTGTGGGTATGAGCAGCATCCATGGGAGGTGAAGAATGGAAGAGAAGAATGATGATATTTATAAAGAAGAGGATGACGTGAGAGTGAAGTTAGGCAATCAATTTGATCACTAAAACACATGTAATGAAGACCCACAACACAAATCAAAATCAAAGCCTTAAAAAAAAGCAATGAACTTAGAGATGATCATACACTAAGATAATGATTATGATGAAGAAGAAGGCGGCGGAAAATGGAACTCTTTCACTTTCTCGAATAGAAAATCGCCCACCGCTATCAAATATTATTTGTTTTGACTGGTTACGTATCGGTATCAGCCTCAAGGCATTTTAGGCTTTAAAATGTGTCGACTAGAGAGGGGTTTCTACGTCTTTATAAATGATGTTTCATTTTCCTCTCCAACCAACGTAGGATCTCACATTTTTTTTTTTTTTTTTTTTTTTTTTGTTTGGCTATGGGATGGACTTGGGATGTTACATATGGTATCAGAGCTCGATATCAAGTGGTGTGTCAACGAAGACGCTAGCCCCCAAGGGAGGGGTGGATTGTCATATCTCACATCGGTTGAATAGGGGAACGAAACATTTCTTATAAGGGTGTGGAAACCTCTACCTGACAGACGCGTTTTAAAATCGTGAGGTGACGACGATATGTAATGGGCTAAAGTGGACAGTAAATGCTAGTGGTGGGTTTGGGCTGTTATAGTCATGATCTTGATGCACGCTTGATGTCAAGCCTTAAGGGAAACTTAAGTCTCTTTTTTCGCCGAGTTTTATATGAGGTTCTCCTTCACCGATCGAACACAACTCATACAGAAACTTAGCTATGCTCGGCCATATACATCATTCATATGTGCATGTTCATTCAATTACGACCCTATCGACAAAACATATGTACTGCCCTCGATTAGGTTTTAGTAATCTTCTTTCTATGTCTTTGAATTTTCTAATAATTTACTAAGACCTTTCGATTTTTTTATAATGTTATTTCTATTTCTCTTCGTTATAGTAAGATAGACATGTTCGATGAAATTTGGTTAAAGACGGACAATTCATGTCTGTCGGTACTTATCTAAAATCGAGATATTTTCTATTATTTCATAATTTTCTTTGTGCAATTTATTTTTATATGCAATGATTTTATACCTTATGTTAATATTGAAATGAAAAAATAATAATAATAATATATAAAATTGGAATTTAGAAATATATGAAAAATATGGAATTGGATAATTGTAGTTTCAAATTTAATTATTAAAAAAAAATAGTGTGAAAATGGAAGACTTTGAAGCATCATCACACGTCACGCTTACGCCACTCCACCTGCTACGCCCACGTGTCACGCGCGAAAATGGGTTTGGTCGTGGACCAATTTCGTAAGTCAGTGGGCCCACATCATGGGAGTGTCATGTGTCCCTACACACTCATCAACAATTATTGTTTTTTTTAAACTATATATATATATATATATATATATTTTTCATTATTAAAATCTTTTCAATTGCACGCTCGGGAGGTGTGATGTCCCACATTGGTTGAGAAAGAGAACAAAACATCATTTATAAGGGTGTAGAAACCTTCCTCTAGCAAACGCATTTTAAAGTTTTGAGGGAAAGCCCGATAGGGAAAGCCTAAAGAAGACAATATCTGCTCGCATGAGCTTGGATCATTACTTACAAATGGTATCAGAGCTAGACAATGTATGATGTGCTATTCTTGTGGATAGACACGAGACGGTGTGCCAGTAAGGACACTGGGCCCTGAAGCGGGGTGGATTGTGATATCTCACATTGGTTGAGGAGTTGCATGATATTTTATCGATATTTAATAATTTTTGTTAATAAATATTAAAAAAAATTATTATAATGATTTAAAAAGTATATTTAAAAAAAAATGCAATCAACTATTTCTTAGGGTTGTGGGCATGCCTCAAGTGGGCCCCACCCTCACGAAAAAAAAAAATAATATATATTTTAAGTAACTGAACACAATTATTCTAAATTAATAATTAAAATTTAAATTAATGTGACGTATAAGTGAAGATAATAATAATAATAATAATAATTAAATTACTAATTTTAGTTTTTAATGGGATTTGTTTATAGACATTGACGTAACTGAGTTTTCCATTTCACTTTCTTCACTAACTTTTTTTAATTCAATAATTAAGCTCTTTCCTTTACATTTTTATTTATTTTTAAATTATTATTTTTTAAATCACTTACTATTAACGGTTGTTGAACTCGAAGAAAAAAGGATGTCGGGTTTATTTAGGTTTTATATTTTTTTTAAAAAAAAGTTTGTAATGAACACACGGGAGTTGGCTGAGTTTTAGGGTTTTGATCTGGTTTCTTCCTTGGTAAAACTATCCCAACTTACTCGAGGGGTTTGAATAATTTTGATTTTAATCAACTGGCTTGTATTTCGTGGAATGAATTGAAAAGGTTCGTGGATAATACCCAATATAAGAGTTGAAGAAAACGAATAACTAAATAAATGTACGCACTCAGTAACGAAGCTATGACTAGGTCGTGCCTCGATGAATTATGTATATGTATGATTTGAAGAATAATTGTAGGGAATATTAAAAAAGTGAATTAGATAATCTTAAAATTCCAAGATACCCTTAATAAGATAGATGAGCTCTAAGGAGTTGAACGATGAGAACGAGAAGAGCTATACGAGCCCGTAGGACTAAATGAGTTGAGATAGATCTGGATTTCGATTCCCGACTCTTAATATTCTATTATGCTCATATTTTGATGATGTATTTACGGTGTCTTTTGCATGAACTTCCACTGAATTATGTCGAATTATATTTGTTAGATGTATGTTTTTAAATTGATCAGGATTATCGAGTCGTCATAAATTTTATGTCGTAGTAGCAATCCCGAGCTCAAGATTCCCGAAATTAAAAACTAAAATTTATTTTATAAATAGCCCTATAAACTCATAAAATTATACATTGAGTAAGATAGTACATTGAAGTATAGAAAGGATGTACTAAATTTTAGAATCATTACAAAGAAGAAAGTTTATGGAAATGGAATGGGCAAAAGTTTTCAGTTTTCAATTTCTTGTTGAAATTCATAATGTGTTAGCTTCAACTTATCAATGATGAAAAATTCTAAACTAGTTGTCTTTCTATTGGATTTTAATAAAAGTTGTAGTGGACATCGAGGTGTATTTGACAAGAGCTTTAAAAGTTGAATGTTAAAAATATCTTTAGCTCGAGAACGGGTAATAATTTAGTTTTTCACAGTGAGATCCTATATTGGTTGGAGAGGAAACGAAACATTTTTTATAAGAGTATGGCCCTAACATATACGTTTTAAAACTGTGAAGCTGACGACTATACGTAACCGATCAAAGTAGATCATATTTGTCACGATGGGTTTGGGCTATTACAAATGATATCAGAGCTAGACACCAAACAATGTGCCAGTGAAGACGCTAGGTCCTGAAGTGGGTTGGATTGTGAGATCTCACGTTGATTAAAGAGGAGAACAAAGTATTATTTACAACTGTTTCATTAGTAACAATTTATTATTATCACTAGTTCAATAGGTCAAACAAAATAATTATAAAAGTCTATTATATATATTTTTAGAAATATATATTTAGTTTATAGTTGTGTCGGCTAGGGCGTATGCATAACATTTCATGGCCTATATTATGCTTCGTTGTGGACTGCTCGAAGTCAGTGACTGCAGATGGTGTGCTCTGAGTCCGAATCCGAGTCTACATGTCGTTTCTTCTTCACCCGACTACATTTCCAACCACCACGCGTTTGTTCTTTACTCACACAATGTCACTTTAAGTCTCTCTTCATGTTATTGTCACTTACAAGTCCATAAATGCAGGGTTTTTCCAACACGTTCGAAACGTTTTATCCTTGTGTATTGCTACTGTGTTGCTGCAGATGAGCACGTGAGAACTTTTGGATGATTTACGAGTGGAAGAGGCAAGGTTTTGTAGCATTCGTGGACTGTTGTTTCCATGAAATTTATGACGCTGTTATATATGCGTGAGATTCCGTAACATTTTCATTAAGTGATACGAACATGAAAAGCTATCACAACAATCTCAATGAACATTCAAGATTCGGAACAGTTCTCAATGAACATTCAAGATTCGGAACTGTTCTCAATGAACATTCAAGATTCGGAACCGTTCTCAATGAACATTCAAGATTCGGAACCGTTCTCAATGAACATTCAAGATTCGGAACTGTTCTCAATGAACATTCAAGATTCGGAACCGTTCTCAATGAACATTCAAGATTCGGAACCGTTCTCAATGAACATTCAAGATTCGGAACCGTTCTCAATGAACATTCAAGATTCGGAACCGTTCTCAATGAACATTCAAGATTCGGAATCGTTCTCAATGAACATTCAAGATTCAGAATCGTTCTCAATAAACATTCAAAATTCAGAACCGTTCTCAACGAACATTCAAGATTTAGAACCGTTCTCAACGAACATTCAAGATTTAGAACCGTTCTCAACAAACATTCAAGATTCAGAACCGTTCTCAACGAACATTCAAGATTCAGAACCATTCTAATTATCATATAATATAACATTCAAGATTCATAACAGTTCTAATTATCATATAATATCTCATTCCAACACTAAGAAGTACTAAGACTATCATATAATATCTCATTCCAACACTAAGACGTACTAAGACATTCTAAACACGTTCTAATAGTAGAGTCATTTACCTTATTAGCCAATAAAAAGTATATTGGCCTCTGAGAGTTGGTAAATACATTAGAAGAAACATTGTTATTGTGGATGTTCTCTGACTAAGGTTGATTGGAAGACACAGGGCCCGACATTGATGGTAATGCAGTGGTCGTCCCAGACTTGGTTTCCATAGTAAGCATCCTCAGAGATATTTTCCTTAGGTAATCTGACTGAAACCAGAGGTTCAAAATAGAAATGGTGAGTACTCAGCGTTGTATTTAGTAGATAGCATAATAAATCAGGGCTTTATACAAGTGAGTGCAGCAAGTACCTGACTGGTAGCGGCATTGTAAACCTTTTCCTCGAACCTTACAGCAATTTTCCTCAACTCACTCAATCCCTCAGGACCAGAAACAGGAATGTGCCTCTTCAATGTCTCAATTCTACATAAAAATGGAAAAGATGGTGGCTGACAAGTTTATTAAATGCAAAAGCACAGGAAGCTGTTCGGGAGCGAAAAACTATAGCTGTAACCCACGTCCATGATTCAAAATATTAGTGTAACAGCTTAAGCTCACCGCTAGCAGATATTATCTGTTTTGACCTGTTATGTATCGTCGTTTTAAAACGCGTTTACTATGGAGGTTTCCACACCCTTACGAGGAATGTTTCGTTCCCTCTCCAACCAATGTGGGATCTCACAATCCACGCCTTGAGGGTCTAAGGTTCCCCTCTCCAACTGATGTGGGATCTCACAATTCACCTCTTGAGGGTCTAGGGTTCCCCTCTCCAACCGATATGGGATCTCACAATCACCTCTTGAGGGTCTAGGGTTCCCCTCTCCAACCGATGTGGGATCTCACATTCCACCCCTAGAGGGTCTAGCGTCCTCGCTAGGTGACTTTGGTACCATTTGTAATAGCCTAAGCCCACCACTAAAATATATTGTCCGCTTTGGCCCGTTAAGTATCACTGTCAGTCTCGCGGTTTTAAAACGCGTCTACTAGGGAGAGGTTTTCACACCATTACGACGAATGTTTCGTTCCCCTCTCCAACTAATATGGGATCTCACAATTAGACATTTTGAAGGAATGGACTTTAGAACAGTTGAGGAAAATTCAATAGGATCCATACTGCTTCAAATAAGATATACTTCTTATGTTCAATGACGGGGGTAATACTTGAAGAAGCAAATAGGAACCGCATCCACAAAATCTAACCTACCACATCTTCAAACCAGAAATATAAAAGTGAACAGGATAATTTTAAATCACCACTCTCACCCATTCTCAACGATCCTTCCCTTGAACAAACTACATTATAAAGCCTCTCCGAGGCCTATGTAGCCCTCGAGAACAATCTCCCTTTAAACAAGGCTCGACTCCTTTTTCTGGAGCCCTCGAACAAAGTACACCTTCGACTCCTTTCACTAGAGCCCTCGAACAAAGTACACCCTTTGTTCTGACACTTATGTCACTTTTGACTACATCTTCAAGGCTCACAATTTCTTTGTTCGACATTTGAAGATTCTATCAATATTGCTAAGTTAAGGGCATGACTGTGACACCAAGTTAGGAATCACGACACTCTGCAATGGTATGATATTTTCCACGTTGAGCATAACCTCTTTTGCTTATGGTTTTCCCAACGTGGAATTCTCTCCAAACAATCTTCGATAAGGTTTTGGAAAAATCAGTTCGCATCCATCAGTTAAACACAAATTTAAGAAAAGGTAGAAAAAGGTTTTGCCGTTCATATCTTAATTCAGAAAACCATCACATAGTAACTAATCTAAGCAGCGAACTATGAATACAAAAAGTTACAAAATCTCAGACAAACTTCTCAAAGAAGCAAGAAATCATACATGCTGTTGACAATTCGATGCCGAGAATCCGGCGGCAACTGAGACCTCCAATCCCCGGCATCGACTTCGGGTTCTCCACCTTGAGCAGGCCCTAAATGATTTGAATCCATTCAAAAAGTTTCGAAATAACCTACGAGAAGAAATTGCGTCAAAACCCCAATAACAAAGCAAAAGGAGAGAGTGAAGAATCGACACACCTCGGTTTCTCCTCAATGTTCATAAAATATTTTCTTATGAATTTCTAAGAAATTACCTCTTGACATCTTCGAATCAGTCGACAGATGTTGGAATGGGCAACTGACATAGTCCAGTCGTAGTCACATTGGAATCGAGTCTGTCAGCTTGTTGGATTGGGCTTTGAGGTTTGGTGTAATATCCAAAATAAGGATCGACCCAAAACATCAAGAAAAGAAATTAAGACATTCAAACAAGACAAGAACAAGAGTCTTAAATGAGTTTATTTTCACTATCCTAAGAAGTAATTTTAGGCATCTAAATGGAAAAGGTCAGCATTTAAGACGGAAATGTCATTTTTTTCAATTTTTAAGAAATTTCTCGGAATTTTAACTTCTTGTTGAGAAAGAATTTCAAGGTGTATAAGAAAGAAAGAGTGACCAAGAAAAGGTAAATAATCGTGCCGGTTTTTTTTTAATTACACATAGCCTTTGTAAACATAGCGTTTATGAAGTCACAAATATGCGTGAGATTCTGAAACATTTTTATTTAATGATACCAATATGAAAAACTATCACAACAATATCATAGACATTCAAGATTCAGAACCGTTTCAATTATCATATAACATCTCATTCAAAACAACCTCATAAACATTCAAGATTCATAACAGTTTAAATTATCATATCATATCTCATTCAAAACAATCTCATGAACGTTCAAGATTCAGAACCGCTTCAATTATCATGTAGTATTTCATTCAAACTAATCTCATGAACACTCAAGATTCAGAACAATTTCAATTATCATCTAATATGAACACTCAAGATTCAAAACAATTTCAATTATCATATAATATCTCATTCAAACCAATCTCATGAACACTCACGATTCAGAAAAGTTTCAATTATCATATTGATATCTCATTCAAACCAATCTCATGAACACTCAAGATTCAGAACAATTTCAATTATCATATGATATCTCATTCAAACCAATATCATGAACACTCAAAATTCAGAATAGTTTCAATTATCATATAATATCTCATAATATCTTATTCTAAGCAATGAAACGTTCTAATAATAGTAGAGTCATTTACCTTATTAGCGAATAAAGTATATTTACATTATTGGCCTCACAGAGTTGTTAAATACATTAGGAGCAGTGTTATTTTGGATGTTCTGGGAGAGTAATTGCAGGCGTGGCTAAGGTTGATTGGAAGCCATAGGCCCAGACATTGATGGTAATGCAGGGGTCGTCCCAGACTTGGTTTCCATAGAAAGCATCCTCAGAGATATTTTCCTTAGGTAATCTGACTGAAATCAGAGGTTCAAAATAGAATTGGTGAGTACTCAGTGTTGTATTTAGTAGATAGCATAATAGAGAGAAGATGGGGGATAAGCTTCATCGTCGAGAGGGAAACAACCCGGATCACCAGCTAAGGCCCCTAAATGACCGCTCAGTGATCAGGGCTTTATACAAGTGAGAGCAGCAAGTACCTGACTGGTAGCGACAGTGTAAACCTTTTCCTCGAACCTTACAGCAATTTTCCTCACCTCACTCGATCCCTCCGGACTCGAAACAGGAAGGTGCCTCTTCAATGTCTCAATTCTACATAAAAATGGAAAAGATGGTGGCTGACAAGTTTATTAAACGCAAAAGCACTGGAAGCTGTTTGGGAACGAAACACTATAGCTGTAACCCACATCCATGATTCAAAATATTAGTGTAACAGTTTAAGCTCACCGCTAGCAAATATTGTCCGCTTTGGTCCGTTATATATCGCTGTCAGCCTCACGGATTTAAAACGCGTCTACTAGGGAAAGGTTTCCACACCCTTACGAATAATTCTCACCGATTCTTCCCTACTACACCATAGAGCCTCCCCAGAGGTCTATGTAGCCCTCGAAAAATCTCCCCTTAAACCCTTAAACAAGGCTCGACTCCTTTCTCTGGAGCACTTTTAACTATACCTTCAAGACTTACAATTTCTTTGTTCGACAATTGAAGATTCTATTGACATTGCTAAGTAAAGAGCATGACTTTCATACCATGTTAGGAATCACGACTCTCTACAAGTATATGATATTGTCCACTTTGAGCATAAACTCTCGTGGCTTTGCTTTTGGTTTTCTAAAAAGCCTCATACCAATGAAGATAGTATTTCTTACGATCATCCTCTTAATTAGCCAACATGGAATTCCCTCCCAACAATCTTCAACAACCATTTGGAATCAATTCCCATCCATCAGTTAAACACAAATCTAAGAAAAAGTAGAATAAGGTTTTGCCGTTCATAGCTTAATTTAGAAAACCATCCCATAGTAACTAATCCAAGCAGCGAACTATGAATCAAAAAGTTACAAAAGCGCAAACAAATTTCTCAAATAGGTATTAATGGCATGAAAGAAGAAAGTAATCATACATCTTGTTGACAATTCGATGCCGAGATTCCGGCTGCAATTGAGACCTCCAATCCCCAGCATCGACTCCGGATTCTCCACCTTGAGTAGGCCCCAAATGATTTGAATCCATTCAAAAGTTTCGAAACAATCTAAATTGCGTCAAAACCCTAATAACAAAGCAAAAGGAGAGTGAATCGGGAACAGCCTTATAAATATTGTCTCCTCACACCTTGGGTACCAAGTTACTCGGTTTCTCCTCAATGTTCATCAAATATTTTCTTAAAAATTTCTAAGAAATTACCTCTTGAAATCTTTGAATCAGTCAACAGATGTTGGATTGGGCAACTGACCTAGACCAGTCGTAGTCACATTGGAGTCCAGTCTTAGTCGCATTGGAGTCGAGTCTGTAAGCTTGTTGGATTGGGCTTTGAGGTTTGGTGTAATATCCAAAATAAGGATCGAAGATTAAGCACCCAAAACATTCAGAAAAGAAATTGAGACATTTAAATAAGAGTCTTGAAAGCAAGTTATTTTCAATACCCTAAGAAGTAATTTGAGGCATTTGAGTCCTTCAAAAAAAAAAAATGAAAAATTACCAAAATACCCTTGAACTTCAAAATAATTACGAAAATTAGTACAAATCAGAAAATCATATTCATGGCCGTGAGTAGTCCTAAAAAAATCTACCGTATCTTCATTTTCAATCGTTGGATCTTCACCAAATTTGAATATGTTCCAAAGGAGGCACACCACATCACACCCAACGCCCAAAATTCAAACAGAAATTCTAGTGTTGGTCAAGCTAGTGTCTCTGGTGCTATTGTTGAACATTCATATGGAATAACGACTGTCGTAGCATCATGATAAACATGATGATCATTTTCCTTTTCATAACGTACGCATCCGTACTCATCATAAGGTGTAATATCCCTATGCATGTGAACATACATTTATGCATGAGATCTCAACATTTTTCATGGTAAACAAATCGTGCTTTTTCATTGTAAACAAATCGTGCAAGACAACTCTTACAAAATAATTTCATTCATAGCATAATCTTTGAAACATATCTTAGAGGTTGTCCATCATAAATCTCCACATCTTAAAACATTTCATAGCATGAAATGACATATCGGGTCGAGGCGCGAACTTCGGGTCAGATTGCTCAGGCGCACAGATCGCTTGCGTCTATTGGACCGCACGAGTTTTGTGGTTTGAGAGGTGCGTATGCTAGGCCGTATGCGTAGCATTTCGTGGGCCTAGCTTAAGGGCCATCATGGGCTGCACGAAGTCAGTGGCTGCAAATGTGTGCCCAGAGTCCACGGGTCGTTTCTTCTTCACCCGACTGTCACGCAAATCGCAACCCTAATCTTCGATTGATTCTTTTTCCTTCTAACGTCTCTGCTTGATTTTGGATCACCACGCATCTACTCTTCACTCACACAACGTCACTCTAAGTCCCTCTTCATGTTATTGTCGCCGATAAGTCATAAATATGCATGAGATTTCATAACAGTTTCATTTAGTGATACGAACATGAAAAACTATCAAAACAATATCATGAACATTCAAAATTTAAAATCGTTTCAATTATCATATTTCTCCTTCAAAACAATATCATGAATATTCAAGATTAAGAACAGTTTCAATGATCATACAATATCTCATTCAAAACAATATCATATAATATCTCATTCAAAACAATATTAAGAACCGTTTCAGTTATCATATAATATTTCATTCAAACCAATATCATGAACATTCAAGATTAATTCAATTATCATATAATATTTCATTCAAAACAATCTCACGAACATTCAAGATTCAGAACAGTTTCAATTATCATATAATACCTCATTCCAACGCTAACACGTTCTACCAGTACTACCAGTAGACTCATTCACCTTATTAGCCAATAATTGGCCTCTGAGAGTTGGTAAATACATTAGAAGAAGCAGTGTTATTTTGGATGTTGTGGGAGAGTAATTGCAGGCGTTTCTAAGGTTGATTGGAAGTCATAGGCCCAGACATTGATGGTAATGCAGTGGTCGTCTCAAAGTTGGGTTCCATAATAAGCATCTTCACATATATTTTCCTGAGGTACTCTGACTGAAATCAGAGGTTCAAAATATAATTGGTATTTATTTAGTGCAACACTACATAGCATAATAAATCAGGGCTTTATGAACAAGTTCTTATACAAAAGTATCTTTCAGTACAGAACTAAATCTTAGGAACCCAATGAAATTGGGATCTTATTGTTATAGCAAACGGGCTAAACATAAATAAGATAATGTTTGTTCTTAAAATCCTTGAGAACTATAACAAGTGAGCAGGAAGTACCTCACTGGTAGCGGCAGTATAAATCTTTTCCTCGAACCTTGCAGCAATTTTCCTCAGCTCACTCAATCCCTCAGGACCAGAAACAGGAAGGATCCTCTTCAATGTCTCCATTCTACATAAAAATGGAAAAGATGATGGCTGACAAGGTTATTAAACACAAAAGCATGGGAAGCTGTTCAGGAACGAAAAACTACCGCAGTAATCCACGTTCATGATTCAAAATATTAGTGTAATAGCCTAAGCCCGCTGCTAGCAGATATTGTTCACTTTGGCCCGTTACGTTTCGCTGTTTTAAAACGCGTCTACTAGGGAGAGGTTTCTACACCCTTATGAGGAACGTTTCGTTCCCCTCTCAAGCTAATGCGGGATCTCACATTCCACCCCCTTGAGGGCCTAGAGTCCTTGCTGGCACACCGCCCAGTCTCTTGACTCTGCTTTGGCCTCCTATCGCTCCCCGCCTTAAGGTTTTAAAACACGTCTACTAGGGAGAGGTCTCCACACCCTTAGGAAGAATGTTTCATTCCCCTCTCCAACCAATGTGGGATCTCACAATTCACCCACCTTGAGGGCCTAGAAACCTCACTAGCACCCCGGCCAGTGTCTGACTCTGATACTATTTGTAACAAGCCCAAGCTCACCGCTAGTAGATATTGTCCGCTTAGGCCCGTTATGTATTGTCATCAGCCTCACGGTTGTAAAGCGTGTCTTCTAGGGAGAGGTTTCTACACCCTTCTAAGGAATGTTTCATTCCCCTCTCCAACCAACGTGGGATCTCACAATCCACCCCCCTTGAGTGCCTAGATCCCTTGCTGGCACACCGTCCAGTGTCTGACTTTGATACCATTTGTAACAGTTCAAGCTCACCACTAGTAGATATTGTCCGCTTTGGCCCGTTACGTATTGTCATCAGCCTCATGGTTTTAAAACGTGTCTTCTAGGGAGAGGTTTCTACACCTTTAAAAGGAATGTCTCGTTCCCCTCTCCAACCAATGTGGGATCTCACAATCCACCCCCCTTAAGGGCCTAGAGTCCTCGCTGGCACACCGGCCAGTGTCTGACTTTGATACCATTTGTAACAACCCAAGCTCACCGCTAGTAGATATTGTCCGCTTTGGCCCGTTACGTATTGTCGTCAGCCTCACGATTTTAAAGCGTGTCTTCTAGGGAGAGATTTCTACACCCTTATAAAGAATGTTTCGTTCCCCTCTCCAACCAATGTAGGATCTCACAATCCACCCCCCTTGAGGGCCTAGAGTCCTCGCTAGCACACCGCCAAGTGTCTAACTCCGATACCATTTGTAATAGCCCAAGCTCACCACTAGTAGATATTGTCTGCTTTGGCCCGTTACATATTGTCGTCAGCCTCACGGTTTTAAAGCGTGTCTTCTAGGGAGAGGTTTCTACACCCTTATAGGAATGTTTCGTTCCCCTCTCCAACCAATGTGGGATCTCACAATCCACCCCCCTTGAGGGCCTAGCGCCCTCGCTGGCATACCTCCTAGTGTTTGATTCTGATACCATTTGTAACATCCTAAGCCCACCGCTAACAGATATTGTCTGCTTTGGCCCGATACTTATCGTCGTCAGTCTCGCAATTTTAAAACACGTCTACTAGGGAGATGTTTCCACACCTTAATGAGAAATGTTTTGTTCCGCTCTTCCACCCATGTGGGATCTCACAATTAGCATTTTGAAGGAATGGACTTTAGAATAGATGAGGAAAATTCAATAGGATCCATACTACTTCAAATAACTTATACTTCTTATGTTCAAAGAAGGGGCTAATACCTGAAGAAACAAATAGGAACCGCCTCCACAAAACCTAACCTACCATATCTTCGAACCAGAGATGGAAAAATGAAGGAGATAATATTATAGAACTAGGTTTTGGAATCAGTTCGCATCCATCAGTTATACACAAATCTAAGAAATGGTAGAATAAGGTCGAGGATGATTCTATACTTCCAAAGTTTTTCCGTTCATAACTTAATTCACAAAACCATCCCATAATAACTGGTCTAAGCAGCGAACTATGAAACAAAAGGTTACAAAAGCTCAAACACATTTCTCAAATATGAATGAAAGAAGCAAGAAATCATACATTTTGTTGATACTTTGATGCCGAGAATCCGGCTGCAATTGAGACCTCCAATCCCCGGCATCGACTCTGGGTTCTCCACCTTGAGCAGGCCTCCAATTATTCGAATCCATTCAAAAGTTCCGAAACAACCCCATGAGAAAAAACTGCGTCAAAATCCCAATAACAAAGCAAAAAGAGAGATTGAATAGAGTCCTTCAAGGATGGAAAGTAAGGCTGTTATGGAGTTTACTCGTGGTTTAGGGCTGAATGAAAGCCAGAATTCGGCGGCGGAGATGTGAATCGGGTCGAACGAATTCGGCAGTTGATCGTGGGCGCAGACATTGGTGGTAATGCAGTGGTCTTCTTAGAGTTGGGTTCCATAGTAAGCATCTTCACAGTTATTTTCCTTAGGTAATCTGACTGAAATCAGAGGTTCAAAATATAATTGGTATTTATTTAGTGCAACACTACATAGCATAATAAATCAGGGCTTTATGAACAAGTTCTTGTACAAAAGTATCTTTCAGTACAGAACTAAATCTTAGGAACCAAATCAAATTGGAATCTTATTGTTATAGCAAATGGGCAAAACATAAATAAGATAATGTTTGTTCTTACAATCCTTGAGAACTATAACAAGTGAGCAGGAAGTACCTCACTAGTAGCGGCAGTATAAATCTTTTCCTCGAACCTTACAGCAATTTTCCTCAATCCCTCGGGATCAGAAACGGGAAGGAGCCTCTTCAATGTCTCCATTCTACATAAAAATGGAAAAGATGATGGCTGACAAGTTTATTAAACACAAAAGCATGGGAAGCTGTTCAGGAAGAAAAAACTACCGCAGTAATTCACGTTCATGATTCAAAATATTAGTGTAACAGCCTAAGCCCACCGCTAGAAGATATTGTCCGCTTTGGTCCGTTATGTTTCGCTATTTTACAACGCGTCTACTAGGGATCTAACATTCCACCCCCTTGAGGGCCTAGCATCCTCGCTGGCACACTGCCCGATGTCTGACTCTGAT